GGCTTTCCTTTGAGATGTGAATGGCCTTCCCGGTAGAGATCGCTGGTGGGCAGGTGAGTGAAAGATGGGTTGGAACTCATGGGATGGTCAGGGAGCCTTCGGTGTGTAGGTGGCATTTGCAGCCTTGAACTGACCAGGTGAGAGAACAGAGCAGAGGACAGAATCCCAGGAACCAGCATTTCCCAGGTGGTTAAGAAAGCGAAATCTGTGACTGGGCCTGAGGTGCCGTGGTCAGAGGAGAGAAGTGGCAGAGGGGACTGGAGAGGCGGCTACTGTGGCTCTCCCAGGCTGAGGGTGGTTATCCTGGAGGCTCTGGAGCTGGAGGCCCAGCTTGTACCTTCCCTGACCACTTGTCTGTTCACAATGCTGAGTGAGCACTGTGCCAGGTGCTGGCGGGGCAGGAGGAGATGCAGGTCCTGCCCTCGTGGAGCGCAAGGCGGACTGTGCAGGATGAGGTGAAGACGCCAGACACCCAGGGTGTGGCATGACAAATTCTGTGGAAGACCAGGAGGGAAAGGCACAAAGTGCTGTGAGAGCACAGAACTGGAGGGTGCTGGCAGGAGGAAGGCCAGAATCCATACGCTTCCCTACGATCAGTCACCTTCCAAAAGCCTCACATCTGAGCACGTGAGACTGTTAGGGGATATTCAGATCCCAGCCGTGACAGAAGGCAAGGCTCCCAACAGGATGGTAGCAGTAAAGGTGGGAAGTAGGTGAGAAGCCTCCCAGAGCCCATTTCTGTCTTGTAAGCTAGAAGCTGCACCCTGTGGGGGTGATGGGGGACAAGGAGGAGTTAGCTTGCTAAGGGCACAGGAGGAGGTCAGTGCAGGGCGACTTTCATTTGAGATGTGAGTGAAGTACTTGGAGATCACAGATGGGCAGGTGTATAAGGGAAAGGGACGGGTTGGGACTCCCAGGAGGAGGTCAAGGATCCCTCACTGTGAAGGTGGCATTTTCAGCTTTGAGCTGACCAGGTGAGAGAACAGAGCAGAGGAAAGAATCCCAGGAACCAGTGTTTTCCAGGTAGTTAAGAAAGAGGAATCTGTGACTGAGCTTAAGGTAAAATGAACAGAGCAGAGAACTGGGAGAGGTCGTCATTGTGGCCTTTGGGGATAAGGGCTTTGTAAGTAGGAAATCTCTGGTGCTGGAGGACTGAGGCTTGCACCCTGCCCATAGCTTGGCTCTCCTTTCGTATGTGCTGAGTAACCTCGTGCCAAGGACCCAGAGGCCAGCATTGGACATGGTGAGACTGGGCCCTGTGCTCATGCCTTACAGACCAGTGTGGAAGATAAGAGTGAAGATGCCATGCACACTTAGGGTGTGGAAGAGCAATTTCTAGTGAGAGCAGAGGAAAGACAAAGTGCTCTGAGAGCAACGAAGTGGCAGCAGCCAAGGATTTTCTGAGGAAGGGTAGGGGTTTGAGCATGTGGAGAATCAGTCCAGCCTCAGAAATGGCCGGTGTGATTATTCTGATATGGGGAGCCAGTGTCCAGTGAGAAGAAGAGTAGATGAGGCTGCAGGAGGCAGCAATGGGACCAGATACCACCAATCCTGGGCTGATCACAGGATTTGGTCTGAGGACCTGGGAGCTGCACAGGACTGAGCAGTCCCAAGTAGCCTGGAGCCAGGCCCAGGTGCCTTCACTGCAGAGAAGGCTACAGCTACCTGGGGTGCCTGAAGGTGTGCAGGAGAGGTGTGAAAAGGTGGGCTGTGTCACTTCCACACAGTTAGCCATAGCCCCTCATGCCTGGGTCAGGGAGGACCACAGGACATATTACCTTGTCCTGCCAGCCCAGGTTTTGAGTGCTCCTAAATCTCAGGTGATAGCATTTGAGATGGCACCTACAGATGTCTGTCTTTTTAACCCTCATTTGCAAAAAATACCCTAATTGTGTAGCCGGTGCCAGAGATCAGGGAGGCTACAGAAACGCAAATAGAATGCAGGCATCATGGAAGCCTTCAAGAATTAGGTAGCAGTCTGGTCACTAGCTATACTCTGAGTGTGGGGGAATGATCAGAGCAAAAGGAAAGAGTCTTACCCTGTGCCCCATCTTCAGAGCCCCTGAGAGATGAGAGAAGTGAGTGTGAGAGGGATTAGACTGAACAGGAAGTAGGGCTGGGGCCCCTGGGAATGGGGTCAGGTCTCTCTTCCTCAGTTCTAGGAAACAGCCCTGAAGGAAAGCCATGAGTGGGTTACTGACTGATGTTGGGGGTGTTGGATTCTATATACTTTCCTTCACTATTTTTTACTTTCTGTTTTTCAGAACAGTGAGTTTAATTATTCTGCCTTCAAGTTTGCAGATTTCTTTTGTCTGCTCAAATCTTTGGAATACCTGAAATGAAATTTTCTTTTAAATTTCTAAATTTCTTTTTTCTTTTCTTTTTTTTTTTTTTTTTTTAAGTACTGGGCATTCAACCCAGTAGCTTCACACTGAGCTACATTCCCAGCCCATTTTGTTTTTCATTTTGAGACGAGTTCACTAAGTAGCCCAGTCCTCCTGCCTGAGTCTCTTCCACTGCTGGGATGACAGCCATGCAGCACAGAGTTTCTCCAGAATTTCTTGTTTCTCTTTATGTGTTCTATTTTTTATTCATATTTTAATTTTGTTCCTAATTTTTATGTCTTTTCTATATCTTTTAGCTCTCTGAGCATCTTTATGACAGTTGTCTTAGTCTTTGCGTCATCTGCCACCATCTAATCTTTTCTCATGAGTATTTTCTATTTATTTTTTTCCTTTGAACAGACCATACTTTTCCTTTTTAAAAAACTCCTTATGATTTTTGTTGAAAAGTAGGCATTTTAATCTTACATTGTTATAACTGTGGAAATCAGATTTTCTTCCTTTCCTGGGTCATCTAGAGTTTGGGGTAGTTTTTCTGTTGTTGTTGATTTAATTTTGGGGTTTTTTTTATATATATAGTTGCAGGGTGTCTCTTTGCCAGTAATTAACCTGAGGCATAAACCAAAGGGTTTCTCATGCCTTTTCTGACCCTGTCTTTCCTTGGAAAAGCATGATGACTTTCTAAATCCTCCAGTGGACCTAGGTGCTTTTCAGTGTCCTTATCCTTAGTTGTCTGACTCCCAAAAGTAGAACGAAAAAGGTAGGGTTTGCGGGGATTAGGCACTGTTGCTTAACTCCTTTGGACGCTATCTCAGCCAGTGGAGATTGCAACAGTGGTGTCCTGCCTGTACGTCTCCACCTCTGTGGTACCAAGGAGCAGTGGGTAGTCAGAACCCTGTTATTCGCAGGACAAAACCCGTGTTGTCCCTTGATTCCAAGGGCCTCTGTCGGATGCCTGCCATGGAACTTCTTGTCTTTATCCCCTGACATTTTTATGACCTTTAATTATTCTATGCAAGAATATGAGAGGTCATTCCATTTTTTGTGTGTAGTTTAATGTTATTCAAAATGCTCATAACATGTTTCTCATATAGATTTTTTTTTTTTGAGACAGAGTCTCGCTAGGTACAGGCTGCCCTCGACTTCACAATGTAGCCCAGGTTGGCCTCAAACTCATGGCGATCCTCCTGCCTCAGCCTAAATGCTGGGATTACAGGAGTGTGCCACCATGCCTGGCCTTCATATTTCTTGCAAATTTGCTCCTCTCTTTCTTTGTAAATGATGGGTATTGATTTTAGTGTGCCAGTTTCATATCCTATTACTTCAGTGATTCATTGATTCCTTGGGATTTTTCATATACAGTATCACATCTGCACATTGAGGTAGTTTTACTTCCTCATTATCCATTTTAAGTCTCTAGTTGGTTTCTTTAATCTGATTGCATTTTTTTAATGCTTCTAGTTCAATGTTGAGTATTAGGGAAAATAACAGATAGTCTTGCTTTGTCCTTGATCATAATGGAAATACATCCAGTGCTTCTTCACTAAATAAGATACTAGCTTAAGGTCTAAGGTGTATAAATTATACCATTTTGTGGAGGTATTCCTCAATCCTGTTTTCTGAAGTGGTTTTGTTGTCAGCAGTGTAGAATTTTGTTGCAGCCTTTCTCAGCATCTCCAAGATAAATTTTTTCTTTACATATACTATAGTCCTGCGCTGTATGATGTTTTCATCAATGACAGACCACATATACAACCGTGGTCTTAAAAGATTCCAGTGGAGCTGAAAATTTTCTCTGTGATTTAACTGTATGTTGTAAAAGTGCTATATTTAGAAGAGGGGCATGAATTATTGGAGCTCAGAGTCAGGAAATGGTACACAGAGAAGGTAACATGGAAATAAATCTGAAGGCTGTGGAGGAGCTTCTCACGTAGGAAAGGGATGCAAGACATTCAAGAATAAAAATAATTTAAAAATCAGATAGTTGGTGAGGCAATCTTAGGCTTTGGATACCAGGCTACATTTCTCAATTCATACTTCTCTAATTTCTCTTTTCATCCCACTGATCGTTCGTGTTATGCTCATGCTCCTTAAATAACCTTGCTTTATTCTTTTGTTTACTCCAGTAGTAGAGCCATTGCTCATTATCATTTAATTAAATGTTATTTTCCTATTTTTCCCATGCTACCATATTTTAGACACATAGAAAAATCCTTATTTATCATTAATATACCTTCTACAAACTTATTTCAGCTAATCACAGCAATCATTGGCATTTTCTTTTTCCTCTCTAGCATGTAAAAGCAGTCTTCAAACCACAAAGACAACTCAAACTAAAGACTCATCTCTTCAGGGGCTAATAAGGAAGAGACTAAAAAAAGATGAACCCTGGGACCTCATACCAGAAAGACCCTGCATATCTGAGGACAAATTTAAAAAACAGTGGGACAAAAATGAAAGTTTGCAAATAATTTCAGTAACCCATATGAAAATTCTTGCTTTAGGTGAATGCCATAACAATTTTGAATTTGGCCAAAACATCAGCCTGAAATCAGTTGTCGTTAAGACACAAAGGATTGCTAGAGAAAAAATACCCTTAAAATATGAAGTACAAAGAAATAGCTTCAAGAAGAATTCAAATTCATTTAACCGACCAAAAATCAAGACAGCAGATAAACGCTATAAATGTAATACATGTGAAAAAGCTTTCATTCACAATTCTTCCCTTCGTAAACATGAGAAAAACCATAGTGGAGAAAAATTATTTAAGTGTAGAGAATGTTCAAAAGCCTTTAGCCAAAGTTCAGCTCTTATTCAACATCAAAGAACTCATACTGGAGAGAAGCCCTACATATGTAAAGAATGTGGGAAAGCCTTTAGCCATAGTGCATCCCTTTGTAAGCACCTTAGAACCCACACTGTGGAGAAATCCTATAGATGTAAAGAATGTGGTAAATCCTTTGGCAGAAGATCTGGCCTTTTTATACATCAAAAAATCCATGCTCGAGAAAATCCTCATAAATATAATCCAGGCAGGAAGCCATCCAGTTGTACCACTTCCCTTCCAGGAGGTCAGAGGCTTCATCTCAGAAAGAAGTCCTACTTATGTAATGAATGTGGTAACAGCTTTAAGTCCAGCTCATCCCTTCGTTATCATCAGAGAATTCACACTGGGGAGAAGCCTTTCAAATGTAGTGAATGTGGGAGAGCCTTCAGTCAGAGTGCATCACTCATTCAACATGAACGAATTCACACTGGAGAAAAGCCCTACAGATGTAATCAATGTGGAAAAGGCTTCACTTCTATCTCACGACTCAATAGACATCGAATAATTCATACTGGAGAAAAACTGTATAATTGTAATGAATGTGGCAAAGCCTTAAGTTCCCATTCAACTCTTATTATTCATGAGAGAATTCATACTGGAGAGAAACCATGTAAATGTAAGGTATGTGGGAAAGCCTTCAGACAAAGTTCAGCTCTCATTCAACATCAAAGAATGCATACTGGTGAAAGACCCTATAAATGTAGCGAGTGTGGGAAAACATTCAGATGTAACTCATCCCTTAGTAATCATCAAAGAATTCATACTGGAGAGAAACCTTATCGATGTCTAGAATGTGGGATGTCATTTGGCCAGAGTGCTGCTCTTACTCAACATCAGAGGATTCATACAGGAGAGAAACCCTTTAAATGTAATACATGTGGAAAAACTTTTAGACAAAGCTCCTCACTTATTGCACATCAAAGAATTCATACTGGAGAGAAGCCCTATGAATGTAATGCATGTGGAAAACTTTTCAGCCAGAGGTCATCCCTTACTAATCATTATAAAATTCATATTGAAGAGGACTCCCTGAAAGCAGATTTGCGTCTGTGAAAGCCTTAAACCAAAGCTTATCAGAAATACATACTTGAAATTGATTTATTTAAAGTAATGAGTATGAGGAAACTTTTTAATTTAGTCCTCATCAGATACTGATTTCCACGGAAAAACCTTGTCTATGTAATGATTATGGTGAAAACTTTTTATACCTGTTAGTCACTTTTTAAAACATCCTATGACAGACACCTCATAGTTGCAGATATTGACATGGGCCATTTGTAAGATGAAAATGGGTTTTTTCTGTCTTTATCAGCATTATGCAATATCTGCATTATGTAAAGAGGAGAAAAATTGGGGTTCAGGGTTGCTAATTTTTTTCAGAAACCTGTATGAACTGCTAGCATAGTTATTAAAGCTAATGTAATAACAAAAGAACTGATCTTAAAAGTAAATGCATTTTTAGAGCATAGGACCAAATAAAAGGAAAACAAACTGCAAACTACCTCAATGTCTGGAATTTACGCTTTCTAACCTATTCTCAACCTTTTTACATGGTTTTCATTTAAAAAGAGACAGAAAAATCTGTTACCTTCCCTTTTGTTCTGTCAAAAGATACCCAAATGTCTCAAACACTTTAAACAATTCTTAATTTTGTTCTAAAAATTTTATTAGAGTCACTTATTAGAAAACCATACTTGTGCTCTAAATAGTAATGTTAGATAATTTAAACAAACTTTTAGATTGTTTAGCCAATCACTTCAATATTAAAGCTATAGTTTTTAGTTTGTTGCAAAATAAATCCTGATAGTTTTTAAAAGAGAGCACATGTGACAAAGTCTTGAAAAAGGAATGAATTAGTGAATAAAGTTCTTTTATTCACTTGGGGTTTTATAGTTTTGGGAAATTACAGACTGCAAAAGAAAAAAAATAATTAATACCTTTGGATCTAGTTTACTCAGTAAATGTGAGTTTAGGCCTTCATTTGGGCCAGATTCTACCCTCGGCAATAGAAATTGTATGGAAGAAAGAAACTGGCCATCTTCAACTATTAAATGAAATAGGTGTGCAAGTAGGAGTTAAAAGGAATAATGGGTAGTAAAAGTTATGGTAATGTGATTTTCATGGAGAAAATGGGTCTAATTAGTGATGATACTATGTAGTTGAACAAAGATAGGGATTTACACAAGATGTAGAGAGAAGGAATTAGAAGACTAGTCAAGGGATTCCGGAAGGACGATGTAGTGTCCCAGAGGCAGTGATACCTGGGACATTTTAGAAGAATAACTGAAATTCTTCAAAAGTGAAAGGAGTGTTCTAAATAGGTGAAACCATGTATCCAAAGATGTGAGTGGATGGATGACAGCATGGCTCATTTGTAGGAAATCTGTTACAAAAAGTAATGAGCATGGTTTGTCAAGCAGCAGGAGGCAGAGGGTAGGTAACAAAAGGTCTTTCTGTACTAAGTTTGAATTTCATTCTGAAATTTATGGTGCCAATTAGAGGTTTTTAATAAGAAACTTCTGGCAACAATATAAAAGATGTTTTTGTGATGTCAAAGACCACTTAAATCCACAAGCCCAGCCTGCTGACTTTTTTTTTTATGGTAGAAAAGATCTCATCTGTAAGATGTTAATAATGGTAGCACTGGATATTTGGGTGCTTTAAAATAATAAGATAATGAGTTTAAATCTGCTTTAGAGAATTTTTTAAAGGAAAGGATGGCTTTATTTCTAACAGTTGTTTCATTTAAAATGTTCTACCTATATCACTTGTATATTTGAAATGTGGTCTGAAGGGCTTAAGGAAAGAATTTGCTGATGAATTAAAGTTTTAAAGCTACTCAGTGAGAAAAATAATGCTTTAAAGAGTGGTATGTCTCAACTAAAACTGAAATATAGCAGTTGACTAGGTATGTGAAGATCTATGGAAAGGGGGACAAGCTTAGGCAGTGTCATAAAGGCACTGAGAGGACATGATGTGCTCATTGTAGTATTGGAAATATTTTTAAACTATTTTCCATCTGGGCTGGGGATTTAGCTCAGTGGTTTCGCCGCCTGCTGTGCAAGCACAAGAACCTGAGTTCAATCCCCGGTACCAAAAAACAAAAACAAAAACAAAACAAAACAAAACTCCTAAACTACTTTCCATCTTAGTATATAGATACACAGTTTATTTTTGTATATTGGCCTGGTATATAGCAACCTTGTTAAATTCAGTTGTTTCTAATAGTTTATTGATGATTTTGAATTTTCTGCATATGTAATCATGTTATTTATAAAAAAAATTACTATTTTAGTTTTCCTTTTCCAATGATGATTCCTTTGTTTCTTACATTGCAGTCCTAGATAAACATGGGCCAGTATAATGTTGAATAGAAATGATAATATTCAATATTAATCCATTTAGTATGATACTAGCTTTGTTGGTGGATACTTGTCAAGATAAGGACATTCTCTTGTATTCCTTGTGTGTTATGAATTTTTGTAATAAATATTTTTGTCATATCCATTTTCTGTATTGATTGAAATTATCATATTGTTTTTTGCATTATAGAGCATTGTATTGTTTTAATTTTGAGGTTGCATACCTGAAATCAATCCTACTAGGTCAAAACGTATCATCATGCAGGTGTTTGTATGTATAAGATCAGGTTTCTTAATAAATAGAAACCTGATTGAAGTGACCAGGGTTGTCTTGCAAGAATTAGATTAAAAGGAATTTTTTTCATCCAGATATGAAGGATGGATAGAATAGTAATGTCTGGAAAGGAAGGAGAAGACAAGGCCAGGAGTGGTGCAGGAGCAAAAGGCTCAGAGGAAGACGGAGTGCAACATCTATAGGAATTTGTAGGAAGACTGACCTTCCTGACATAGAAGAGGAAAGAAAATTAATATTTGAAATAAAAGCTAGGGTTTGGCTGTCAGAGGCCTTGAATGATCTTTGTATTCCTAAGACTGTAGAAGTTTGATCCTGAAGGTACTAATAGATATTTCTGAAGAGTGAGTGGCCAATTTGAAGACTGTTTTAGGAGGAAACTGATGGAGCAAACAGTTCAAATGTGATTTGTGAACTGGCTTGAGAAATTGGTAGAAGGATTGATTCTTGGGTATAGGAGTTTGAGAGTCTGTAAAAAAATATTCCTAGTGAGAAGGGAAAAGAGGCTAGTTCTTTTCCTAGTGCCCTGTAGTTGTCCTGGTATTTTGCTGAACACCACAGATGGAAGAATTCTTAATTACATCTGACATGTTTATACTTTTCAGAATCAAAGTAATTAGTCTTTCAAAAACAGAAGATATATTAGCATCATTGGCCAGTCTGTCTCAGGTTATAAAAATCAGTTGTTTCAGTAGTACCATATAAAAGTACAACTTTCAATGAGAACGTTCAACGTAGTCAAGAGATCTGTTTTCCAGTCCCCATTTCGTTTTGAGTTACATTGTCCCTGACTTTTTCAACTCTAGAAATTCTACCATATCATTTAATATCCTTTTTTATGGTTCTTAATTGTAAAGATCAACTCAAAATTTTAAATGTTCATCATAATGCATTTGTGTATAGATATGTCAAGATGAGTTGAGAACAAAAACTCCAAAGAAATACTGTTTACATCATGTTTTTAGTAACAATATTGCTATATACTAGTGTTATTGCTTGTGTTTAGATGCTCCCCCCTCAAAGCCTCATGATTTTTTTTCTAGGTGGCTGAATGTAAGAGTGTGTGATTGATTCACAGTGGGGCTAGGCCCAAGGGCACTAGGAGTAAGAGTGTGAGTGCTACCCACCCTAAGTAGTCTGAATAAGATAAAAGGGGCAGAAAAATGTTAAGGTCCTTTGCTACCTTTGCTACTTTGTGCACACCACGTTTCGCCTCTGTGATGCCTGTTTGCCATCCCTGTTTTAGAGCTAGCTGATTATCGACTGAAACCTCTACAAACTGAGCTAAATAAACCCTTTCCCCTTTAACTCTGGGTGCCAGGTATTTTGTCTCAGCAACAAGACAAACATAACTAACAACCAGTATTGTTGGATAAAATAAATAATTATGCATTAAGTTTTCAATCTAAAAGTCAAATTGTTTTAGGAAGATGGCGTAGACAAATGTACTTTTTCCTATTTCTCTAAGTACATGTAAAAATCCCTGTACCTTGTATATAAAATAAACATAAAATTTTAATGATTCTTTTTGCTTTATATATCCCAGACTTCAAGCTGAAAAAATTGTGATCCCAGAAACAACAAAGGGCAGAGACAAAAAGCCCTAACAAAGCTTCCTTTCTCTACCCAAATGACCAAGAAAGGGCCAGCGACCGAGATCAAAAACATTTAGAGAATAACCACTACACCCAAACAACAGAAAAGGATGATCCTATCACTACACACACTTGCAAAGGCCATGGGAAAGCCTAGACTATATTTGCCAGGCTGTAAATATGGGCCATAAAGACCCAGCTGGGTAATACATGAGCAGGCCAAGAACTAGGATATTCATCCACACTGGCTGGTAATAGGCATCTGCTGCATCCCCTCAAGAACAGTGAAGACTATATGGGGAACCTAGCTTTCTGAAACCTTTACCCAGTAAGAAGACAGCATTTTCCCCTTCCCTGATAGGACAGTCTCAGTGAAGCCTGAGTGCACAGAACTTTTACCACTGTCCAGTAATAATGAGGCTACATTTCAACCCACGGTGTCAATGGAGGCAAAATAAGGAGCAGCAAAAAAGCAGTCTTGCTCCTCCCAGTCATAGTGGTGCAAGCGAAGACCCCATGAGAAGCTGAGACTCTCACCACAGCAAGCAATAAACAGGAGACCTTTGCCTCTTCAGGCGTCAGAAAGGCCAAGTGAAAGACTTCCTCTTGTACCCATCAGACCACAATTACGTAGAACCTCCTCTGCCTCTGCTGGGACAGTATCAAAGTAAGGCCAATAAAAGAGAAGGTTCAAATAAAATCCATTATTTCATAATATAATACTAAAAATGTTCAGGTTTTACTGAAAGATACTCATCACACCAAGGACCAGGAAGATCACTTAAATAAAATAAAAATGACAGTAGATACAAGTTAGTGACTGTGTTATTATCTGACAAAGACTTTAATGCTGATAAAGTATAAAATACTTGAGAAATTATGAAAATGCTTGAAATCAATTAAGTCTCAGTGAAAAAACTGAACATCTCAGAAATGAAATCGAAGGGATAAAGAAAAGACAAATGGAAATTTTACAACTGAAGAAATACAGTAACCATAATTTTGAAACTCACTGCATGGACTCACAGCAAAACTGAATGGACAAGGAAGTATCAGTGGATTTGAAGATTGAACAATAAAAATTACTTAATTATAGATTTAAAAAAACCTAAAAAAAGGGAAGGGAACAGACTCAGGAACCTGAGAGATTATAACAAAAGATCTTACATTTTTATCATCAGAGATCAGGAGGGAGAGGGGAATGAGTGAGCTAAAGTGTTTTTGAAGTTCTATGGATGAAACTTTCAATTTAGCAAAAGATATAAACCTGTAGATTCAAGAAATTGAGCAAACCCCCAAAAGCATAAACCCAAAGATATCTACACCAAAACACATCATAGTAAAACTTCTGAAAACTGAAGTTAAAAGAAAAATTTGAAAGAGGTGAAAGAGAAAAATAACACATTCAACATAACCTTAAAGGGTATAGTCTTATCCCTGGTCCCTTCCCCTCTGCGTCTTCCGCTTTCTTTCTGCTTCCCGGCATCCACGAGTTAGGCAGCCTTTTTCCACCATACTCCACCACCATGACGTATCAGGGTCCCCAGTTACTGAAGACCCTCGTGAAAGGTTCAGTCTCCTGCTCAGTGATGTGGCGCACAGCTGAAAATGAAACCAAGAGAAAACTGCAGTTGTAAAAGGGCACTGGGATGGCCAATTGCTCCGAGGAGCAAAGGGCAGTTATCAACACCAGCTCTCGAATTTTACTGAATGAACAAGGAACAAAGGTATAAATGGAATACGGGCAGAGGGCCGTGGCTGAATGCACAGGAATAGTCGCTTCTGCAGAAAAGCTAGTAAGAGAACAAGGCATTCGTGCATCAAGCACAAAACCATCAAATTTCCGTAACAGCTTAATGGATATCAGTATGTTGCTATAAGCAACTTTTTACTGCTGAGAAAAAGACTTTTTTGTGTCTTATGCTTCAGTGCCGATGTGATTCATATCTCAGCCTTGTCCCCTCATTGGCCGCTTATCTGGCTTCAGAGGCTGCCGTTAATGGGGGAGGGGGTCCGATGCTGGCCTGTGCAGCACCATTTTGCCTCTATGGGACATTAGTTTTGTCTCATGGTTTCAGAGTTTTCGGTCCCTGGTCAGTTGGCTCTGGATTCTCAGACTTGTGATAAGGCAGAAACATAATGGAGAAAGGGCATGGCACAATAAAGCTGCTGACCTCATGGAAGCCAGGAAACAAGAAGGAAACAGGAAGAAGGGTCAGGGGACCAGATATGGTCCCCAAGGTCATGCCTCCATGATCCACTCCCTTCAAGGCTCCATGTCCTATTTTCGTCACCTCCCAATAATACCATCAAAATATGAACTCATCGGGCCAGGGATTTAGCTCAGTGGTTCCGCCACCTGCCTCACAAGCGGAAGGATCCGAGTTGGATCCCCGGTACCAAAAAAAAGAACTCATCAATGGACTAATCCATCGATTTCATCCATTAATTCATTAATCCATTGATGAAGTTAAAGCCCTCATGAGACAATCATTTCCCCAAAAGGCCATCAGCTGGCAGCCCAACCTTCAATTCAATGAGCCTTTTTTTTGGGGGGGGGGACATTTTAGATAAGCATAATAGTGGGGGATAAGGAATTTGCTCAGCAAAAGGGTGGGAGACTTAACATTATTCTTTCTAGAATTGGGTTTAGCAGGCCCAGGAGGAGGAGGCCTATTCAAAATGAGGTCTCTAGAAGCCTGCATAAAAATCTAGTTTAGGGTATTGTTTTTGTCACAGGAAAAAAAAAAAGGCAGAACAAGAGGAAAATAACCGGCTTCTGTAGTGTGTGGCACAGGTAGGGCAACTGGTTGGCTCTTTGTGCAGAATCAACATCAAGATATTTTGGAAGGATCCGGGAATTTAGCTCAGTGGTTCCGCCACCTTCCGCGAAAGCGCAAGGTCCCGGGGAAAGATAGTTTGGAAGCACAATGTTTTGGAACTTGGATCTTTGGTCCCACTTGTCTTATTCATCGTAAAAAAATATGTGGGGGGCAGTGGAAATTAGCAATTAATTTTAGAAAACCAACTGTTACAATCGAAGAGATTATATTGTTGTCCCCACAGATGTCATACACTTCTCCAAGTTCCAAAGTAGCAGATCCAATTGAAACTGCCTGAGAATAGTGCAAACGTTTAATAGAGATTTTGCTGGCTTTCTAAACAGTGGTAATTTTTAAGGACCGAGAGTGTCTCCTGACACTGAGCTGGGTACAGGGGCCACCATTCATGCTCATGAAATGCCCACACCTCTGGTTTGTCACTGCCTTATGTCCTTATGCTCCCATCTTAGGGAGTGCATGAGGGGCCCTTAATTCAGATGAGGAAAAGCGAGGCTTAACCAAGATTGTCTGCCCCATCCACTCTCTGAGGACCTCTAAAGAGGGGCAGCAATAAGAAGGTGGCCCCTCAGGTCCACTCCCGTTAGGCGACCTTACCAAATACAAGAGTCACGGTGGGAAGCTTACAGTTTGTAGCGGCCCTAATTGTCTACCCTTGCGGCCCCGCGCGTGCGCACCGGGCTTCCGCAGCGCAGCCCCGCAGCCTTGTGGGAAATGTAGTCCGACCTGCCGGGTGCGGCTGCGTCCGCCCTTGTCTCCCGCGGGCTCCTTGGGCGCGAGGTGAGTGTGGCGCTGCGAGCGTTCTGGCGGCGGTTCTCGCCGGCTCCCACGGGAGGAGCCCGGCCTGCAGGGTGAGGCCTCTGCGGCTTGAGGGGCGGGGCCGGCCGCGGGTGCGCCGGGAACCGTCGGCTCAGGCCCTGAAGAGCGCGGGCCGCCGAGCTGCAGGTGCGCCCCTCACGCCCCGGGCTGGCCGCTGGGGACGCCTGGTGTCCGGGACGCCGTCCTCGCACCTGTCTCGGGAGGCTCCGAGCGGGGCCGCGGCGCTGGAGCGGCGGGCAGGTAGGGGTGCTGGCGGTGCTGGTCCGGGGTCTCCCTGCTCCCGTTCTTTGTGTGAACACCTCTCGAGGACCCGCCCTCTGCTCCCGGATTCCGAGGGGTGCGGGCGTGGACTCCCTTGGACCCACCTCTAGAAGAACGGGGAGGCCCGCCTTGTGCCCGGTTCTCCGGGAGAGGGGGTCCTCAAGCATTTTTTTCCCCTTAGAAGTTCATTGTGGGTCAACTAGAACATTTAGAAGAACAGAATCATTCAAAATATGTCAAGATCCGCATGTCGGTTGGCATATGTGTATACATCTAGAAACACTTGAGTTTTAAACAAATATGAATATATCTTTTCCATTTTCTTTTTAAAATTGAGTTATGAGATATATTTGGCAAGTTGCAGCGCACGAATGTTAAGCTCCAGTTTGTGTAACCACCACTCAAAAAACATAGCATAAACTTTTCTAAAAATTTAATATGTTGAATACATCTACTTATACAAATTTTTTAAACGGCTGGCATCATAATTTTAATGTGAGGGAAAGTATAGTTGTGTTATATTTAATCCTTTAGACTTTTGGGGGGGGTTGTTTTGTTTTTATATTTTAAGTGATACAGGTCATCAGGCTTCACATATTTTTGGATTGTAGTGTCATTCCCTAAATCTCTTCCAGTGAAATTTCTAGGTCAAGGGTACTGTAAGACTTTGGATATGCCTATTTTATTTCCTTCCAAAAAAGTAGCCGTTTATGTAAACACTTGGCATGATAGAGTGCCTGATAGACCCACACCAACTCTGGATGTTAGTATTGACTTTAACCTTCTGAGAGGTGCAAATGATAGGGTTGTTTAAATTTGCATTTGGAAAACTCAAATATTTTTATGCAGTTTGCTGTTTTTTTGCTTTTTAATTTTGCTTT